TCCAACAAGATCAATGCCCACGAACAGACAGAAAAACAGCAGAGTGCTCTTCTCAGCTCTCAGCAACAAAGACAAAAAACAACGACTAGGCTGTGAAATTTTTCCTTTATATCTGACCTTTTTTTCCAGTGACTTTAAAACACTGTAACCTTGAGTAACCATTTTAAAGATTTTTTTTTCCACACAAAAAAAAAATCACAAATATTTCCTTTTCACTATTTATTAAACTGAACTAGTAAATCCACGTTTATAATTGTAAATATGTTTGCAAAATGAGGGATATAATTCTAGAAGTTCTTACAACAAAAATGTAGAATTACATTTTAAAGATATTTTGCAAAAAATCACAAATTTTCACAATTATTTCCTTTTTATTACATTATGAGATGAAACTGTTAAATTCAAGTTTAGTACTGTAAATATATTTTTAAAATAAATATAATTAGTGTGACTTAATGGAAAAGACGTATTAATTTTGTTTTTGAAAACATATTTCTTGTTAATTTTCTTAGCTGAACATGCGAAATTCAGATCTATTACTGTAAATATATTTGTAGAGAAGGATTAATTTTGTATATTTTTTTTCTCTTTTTTTGTATATTTTTTTCAGAAAATGACAAATATTGTGTACAAATATAGAAATTAACTTTTTTTTTTACATTTTAATTTTAGACACTTTTTACTTTTTTTTTTATTTTTTACTATTTATCAAATGAAACTGTGAACTTCTGGTTTATTACTTTAAATACATTTGCAAAATTAAAGACAAGTAGGATCACTGAGAAAAAGAAATACTACGTCTGTTTTTGTTTTTTACATACATTTCTTTGGCAAAAAAAAGAAATACAGTCGTGACTAGATAATCCGACACTAAATGTAAAACGTTCTTTTATGTCGGACAGCAAGACAGAGGTCGAGATTCATGGTGATTATCCAAATATTCACCGCGGTCGGGGAGGACTCTTCCACCTAGGGGAGCGCTCTGATGGGGTGGAGGTGGCCGGAACGCACAGGCAGGACTTGGCCACTGATGCTAGTTTAGTTAGCGGTCATAATTCTGTTTCCACCATCGGTAGTGGTGGCAGCGCCACTTCCCCTCCACCACCACCATCCGTGTTTACTTCCGCAAACACTGAGCACTGAACGTCACTGCGTGCGACATCATCGTGTCCTCTTCTGCGCATGCGGGACACTTTGGGGTCGTATGAAGTTCACACAGGAGGTCACATACAAGTCGCATTTAATTGGAAATGTGAACGAACTTGCACAAAAATTGGATTTTACAAAGAAATCTGAATTGAGCGTTAAGTCCTGCAGTCTGAACGTAGCCAATCTGTTGGATTGTTAAATCAGATAATACGCCGTTATCCTTATTTGTGACATAAAAGGCTGTTGGTATGGTGAGGTATTTATGGGTTCTGTTTGTGTTTCCTTAAAACCTGTTGGATAGCAAGGTTTTCGGATTGTTAAGGGTCGGATTATCAAGTCACGACTGTATCTTGTGCAAATATAGACGTTTACGCAACACTGCTTTTTCCAACAAATATTTCCTTTTTACTATTTATTAGATGAAACTGCTAAATTCAAGTTTATGACTCTAAATATATTTGTAAACTTACATACAGTTAATATTGATTGTTTGTTAAAATACACTTTTTTGTTGCACAGTTATACACGCTTTAACAACAAACATGTTGAGCACACACGTTTCAAACAGAGCACACCATCTATAAGCACAGTTTTAAACATGACACTCATTTAAAACACAGGAGTAGCTTCTCTACACGGGCAGACTACCGTGAAACAGATTTTTGCTCCAGCTGAAGCGAACACGCTGCTGACTACAGCTTTAATATAAAAAATGAGATTTTCCTTCGGATCAGCAAAAGTAGATGTGGCTCAGCTGTGTGCACCCCAGACTCCTGCTGCTGCTGCTCAGCGCACCGCAGCCTGCCTGCGGATCAACACAGCGAAACTGAAACTTTTTCCTGCAAACACCCTCCGGCACACTCGCACACTTGTGGGTCCAAATAAGCAAGCAGCGTTTT